TGACCCCTTTAAAGAACCATCTCTTTCTTACATTTTTATAATCTGAAGAACCTTCTTTCGCCACAAAGAACCTTTTGTGAAACAGAAAGGTTCTTCAGATGTTAAAGGTTCTTTATGGAACCATTTAGACAAAAAGGTTCTTCTATGGCATCGCGAAGCACCTTTTTTTAAGAGTGTATCTGGCATCCAGTGTTCTGCATTTTGCAAAATGTTGAGATCATAAATGATTGAGATCATGAATCCTGTGATTACAACAGAGTGTATTTCTGTCAGCAGCTTTCATTATGACTAAGCATTCTGAACTGAAATAATTACAGCTTTGCTGTAGTCTTATCAAACTTGTTTTCGCAATGCTATCTCTATTCTCAGTTGTGTTCCAAACCTGTCAATTTGAACCTAAACCGTATGCTGAATTTCTTGCTCTTTCTTTGTCTGGCTCATGGAAGTCTTTCCAGCATGTGAAATTAACACAAACTCCACGATGAACACGGTTGCTCTTGAAATGTCACTAAAAATGCTTGCTTCTCTCTGCATGTATGAATGGTGTGTGTTTGTGGGCACGTGTAAATGACACCACACACGTTACAGGAGCACAATGATGGGTGTAAGCACAGGAATGAACCAGGCCTTCATCAGCAGCAACACTCTAGCCACAATGCAAGGTTTGTCATCGTTAAGAGGACGAGATGAAAAAAAAAAGGCTCGTAGAAAAAGATGGTTGCATGAAAGTGTTTTGATAGAAATATATGGAGCAGGAGAACATATTTAGAGATCAGTTCGAATAACATGAGGGAAACCTTCCCATCATTCATCATCAGAGAGCCTTCCGCTGTACTCCCACTGCATATCCATCACATCTTCATCCTCACTACTGATGTGTGTGTGCTGCGTGCGTGTGTGTGTGTACCTTGTCTGTCTTTTTCAAAAGCACCTGCCATTTCTAGGCCCTTATGTTTGTTATTGAACTCATCATTGAACTTTCATCCTAACCACTTAAAACCCTTTGCCACCAACACAGTGCTGGAGCCGATGCACAATCTAGAACCGTTCTGTTCGTTTACCCCAAAGAAAAGGCGACTCCGGGGCCAGTGTGTTGCCTCACACAACTTCCTTCATTTATACTCCAGTTTGTTTTCCCTATCTGTCTGTCTATATCTATTTCTGTAAAATAGTATTCTTAAATAATATATATTTCTTAAATATAACTAAAATACAAATGTTTATAATAAATATTAATACATAATTAAATTTTATTTATAAAAATCTTGTTAACTGAAATCTACAAATACTGTTTTTTGTTATATATTTTGACAAAAATCGTATACCATGTTTGAAAGAAGTTAAATATTAATAAAATTATTACATTTGTTTTATAAAAATCATATATGTGAATTGAAAACTGTGAATAATATTACGGAATACTATTATTAAAAAACAACATACCAAAACAATACTTTTATTCAGCAAGAATGCATTAAATGGATCAAAAGTGACAGTACAGACGCTTATAAAGTTACAAAAGACTATTATTTCCAATAAATGCTGTTCTTTTGAATTTTTAATTCTCAAATAATCCTGATGAAATAGTTTTTCTCAAAAATATTAAGCAGCAATTGTTTTCAACATTGATAATAACATGAAATGTTTCTTTGGAAGCAAATCAGCATATTAGAATGATTTCTGAAGGATCATGTGACACTGAAGACTGAAATATTAATGCTGAAAATGCAGCTTTTTCACCACAGGAATAAATTACATTTTAACATATATTAAAACAGAAAACAGCTATTTGAAATTGTAATAATATTTCACAATATTAATGTTTTTACTGTATTTTTGATCAAGTAAATGCAGCCTTGGTGAGCAGAAGAAAGTTCCTTTAAAAAGGTTTTTAAAAATCTTTTGAATTGTTGTGCATATATTTTTAGAATTGAATTTCTGCCCTTTACACGAAAGCTGGCATGATGGCATAAAGGCACTGAATTTAATTAATGTTAAAATACATTCTAAAAACTAATAATACTACTCAATTAGACTTTTTTCAACTCTCATTTAGCAGAAAAACAGCTGTTTCCAAGCACCAGCACCCTTTTTGTGGAAAAGGGGCATTAAACAGCCATTGTAAGATTTTTGTATGATATGCCCTAAATTTAAAAATCTTTCTCTTTCTCTCTCTTCTCTCATCTGTTTCACAGCCCTGGCTGCCAGTGGTGGCCAGATGCACATTTCCACTCTTGAGGGCAGCGGTCAAATGTTCCTGGGTGGAGCTGGAGGTCCAGGAGCTGGACTTCGCCCGTCCCTCTTCCTAAACCGCCCCACTTTACTGCCCCTGGCCAGGAGCGCAGGCATGGGTCTGGTCGGCACCCCCCGGGCTTCTCCGCCTCCTGGCGCCAGTGGCACAAGCCCAGACTCCTGCTCCGTCTCCCCCTGCTCAAGCCCCGCCTCTTTCTGCTCATTAGGCGATGCCTCGCCGCCCCCTCTGGGCGGAGCCATGGCTGAGTGACGCCCACACCAACCTGCTGCACCTGAGGGGAGTCAGAGGGGAAGAAGAAAGAAGACAGACAAGACTCGCCTTTTCAACCAAAGCCATCTCTCACTCCATTTCTCTCTTGTGCTCTCTCTCTCTCTCGTTACGTCTTTTAATGCCAAAAATACAGAGAAATGAGCAGAAGAGAACAGGGATAAGGAGAGAACAGGATAACGGGGGAATGTTTAAACCAAAAAATTGACCTACACAGCGTGGAGAGGTGGCTTCGACGGAGCTACTTTGAGAATGTACACTTATTCCTTTCCAAATGGAAAAAGACAAACCTACATGAACAGATGAATTTGAGGGCAGGGTCGAGAGCCAGAAAACTTTGCGAAGAAACAGCAAGGAAAAAGCAAAACGGGTGGCAACGAATGGAACAAAGGAAGGACATTTGACAAGTGTCACTGGATGGTAGAGAAGAGAAACCAAAAAATAAACACATGGAGGAAGAATGGAAAGACTCACAAAGACAAAAAATGCCAAAACCAAAATACCAAAAACCAAAAAATCGGAGAGAAAAGCTTTACCTAAGACTTTGAAACCTGAATTGTCCAGGATCAGATTAACTCTACACAACACCAAATACCATTTTTCCATGCACCCCTTATAATTAAAACTTTTTTTGAACTCTTTGTAAATGTATTTCTCAATCTACCTCTGCTACCAAGTATATCTTTTCATTCCATTTTCACTTTTGATCCCATGACATTTTCAGCATTTTTTCCTGTCAAACTTACAATGAAATACACAACGCCTAACGAATTTAGAGGGATTTTTCTCCACTTTCAACAGTATTACACCCATTACTGTGACACACATCCCCGATTCCCTTTCCATCACTGATCATCCGCTGGAAGCGCATCCATGCCTCAAACTTCGACTCACTTTTTTCTTGGATACCAAAGCGTTTGTCTGGCCTTTTGCATCAGCTGAAAAGTGCTCAGATGTCAAGACCTCAGACATGTAAAAAAAAAAAAACATACACAAGGAGAAATTTTAAAACGAATCCCCCTGAGCCCCCAAACCCCTGTCCTCCATCCTCTCTGGAACCCTCTCCTGTGCCTCGGAAAAAACAAAGAAAAGCAAGAGGAGCAGCGACTGAAGAGGATCCTAGGAAACTCGCAGGGGGAAATCCAACAACCGAGACGCTGAGGGGAGACATGTGATGTCGCCGCTTTGCTTTTTTTTTTTTTTATTAAACCAAAAATGGAACCGAAACTAAAACCAATGGACTAAAACTGAACTTTGCTCAAAGGAATGAAACCAAATACTAGGAGTGGACCATAGGAGGTGCACGAGGAGGTGATTTTTAGAGTAGCAAGACTCAACGTGGCTTCGACCAGAAGATCATTCCTTCACCTCCTCCCTCCTTCTTTCCGTTAAGTCGATGCTTTCACTCTCCTTCCTGGATGGGAGAATATTTATTAACCTCATCGAACTGAACTTCAGAATATATATATATACATATATATTTTGTTTTATTGCTTTTTCCTCTTGGTCTGTCTGTTTATGCTGTATGACTCGTCTCATTGCTTTATATTTTTGGGATAATTGGGTGACCTATTGCCTATTTTCATATTTCGTGTGTTTCGTCATTTTGAATTGATCGTACCGGGGAGGGGGGCTCCCTCATCAGGCGGTTTGAAACAATACTGTGAACATGTAGCTTCCAAATTTTGCTTCGATTGCGAATGTTGTGAAACGATAAGCGAAAACTGAAGACATACCAAAAGCGAAAACTTTTCTTTTTTGACACCAAATAGCAACCTAACCAATGCACAACGCGTGGAGAAAGACCGTATTGGTGCTAGGTCTCTTCGAGGAGAGATAGGGAGACTTGTGTGAGACGTGTGTGAATGTGGAAGCTCATCTCCAGCATGGAAACCAAACTGAAACACGACCGATAGGCCAACGAAACTTTCGCCCCGGCGTGTTGGCGAAACTGTTTTTGCCTATGTAATCTTAGACGCATACAAAAACGCAGACAAACGAGAAATGAAGAGGTGGGTGGGACGGGGTGGGATGGGGTTTCAAAGAAACTGGAAATCCAGTTGACGTTACACTTCTAGAGGGAATGTACCTGTTAGTGCTTTGATAGATTTTGTAGGAAAAAAATTAATCTATGTTCAACTGCTTACTATTGCTAATGTAAAAAAAAAAGGCTGTGATAAAAATAGTCCTTATGAAATGTTGATAATGATGATGATGATGATGACTTGATTTAAGACCAAAAGCTTTAAACTGTCTCTCTTTGATTTTTTTTCCCTCGAAAATGAGTATTTATTGTGTGAGGGGAGGGTGTATCGATGATTTATATGTTTCCAACTCTTCATCTTATTTATTGGCTTATTTATGTATATTTATAGCATTTTAATTTATCGATTCGGTCTTTTTTTAACCTTCGTAAAATCAAACTGGGGAAATGTGGGGTAGCTTCAGGAAAAAAAAGCAAGTGTCAATGTTTAACTGATGACAAACTTCAGTTTTTGAAACCAAAACTAGCTACTAAAACTGACTGTTGTTTTTGTGGGCACCTTTTTAAAAAATGTGTCCACCGCTTTCGAGAGATGACAAGTTTCCAAACTATATCTCTCACACTTAGTTGATGTAATGTATAGTTATGGGCTAATTTTAAGTATAACTCTTGTTCCAACTGTTTCTTTTTATTTAGATTTTGCTTCGTTTTTTGATGCGTTGGATGAGGGAAAAAGAGTGAGAGAGATACGCTTCTGCATATACCTCATGCTTGATTAGAAATACCAAATAGATGGGAAAAAAGCTTTAAGAATCTGACAAAGGGGAGCAGAGGAGATGTTGCTCAGGAGAGGGTGTTTTTAGCGTCTGAGTATAAGGGTTCACAGATTTCCCCAGATTATCTATCCTACGTCCGGTTCAAATATCCGGCCCACGATCGGTTTTGAAGAACAGTTGATGGCAGATTGTTTTTTCACATCGGTTTTCTATGTGTACGTTACTCATGTGATTATTGGTTTTTGTATATAACTCTGTGTGCCGGTGTGTGCGGACGGCTCTGCCGTAGAGGGCCCTGAATGATACCAAAGTTAAACCTCTACCGTGGGACCTCTCACATGCTAGACACGCTCAAATGCATGGACGTTCTTGTAGACATGCACACGCAAAACTGTTCTTCAACCATTTACAGCAGGAATGTCCACGACTGCATCGTTGTCATTGTGCACAGTATGTTCTGTTGTTTTGCATTGCATTGCCACATAGAGGTAAATCTCACATTTAAATGAAATAATCAGAACTTTCTGTCTTAGCTACATTCAAATGAGAACTTTTGACTGAGTTTAAATGAATACCCAATGCAATATGTCATTGCTTTTCCCGTTTGTTTCCCTTCAGCTACTACAACTTCAATTCAAAGGTAACTGATTAGGTCAACAAAGGAAGATTTTCATGCTAAAACCTCAAAGAGTTGAAACCAAAGAGTTCTGCCGTAACATGTTGTCAGGAAACATGCAGATGCTTTTCCTTTTGTTCTCAGAACACATACCCGCTCCTCTTTTTGACATTTGATGTTGATGACGATGCGAAGTCCATGGTCACTTTCGACTCTGTATCTGCGTTTTTGCGAAGATCCTTTTTCCTCTCTGTCGGTGTGTGTCTCGCTCTTACCTCAGAAGCTCTTCATGGAATTTGTAATCTGCTCTGGATTTGAATCCGGATTTTGTTTCAGATCTGTTGAACTGTCTGTTACTCATCGCTCTCTGTGTGCCTGTTGTATGGGGTGGGAACGGGGTGGGCAGAGAAGGGAGGGGGCCAAACAGCCAATAAGTGTTAGGATTAAAGTGCAACTTTAGACCAAAAATGTGTCCATGTCTGGTTGTGTTTTATACTTTACCTTTTAAAAATGCTTGTGTGTGTATGTGAAAATAAGGATTATAATTCTACACTTAACTCTGGGTTAATTTCTTTTTAACCCTGGGTTAAGTAGCCTAACATTTCACTCTGCTGTTAAACTCTGGGTTATGAAGCTCTTTTGCAGGCCAAAGGCATGCAGTGTCAAATAACGTATTGCTAGAACATCACAAGTTGTTTACCATCCAATCATAAGGTAAACAATGCCTGCCTTATTAAATATGCATGCACCTTCATGAATGCAGTCACAGAAACTCACGCACTGGGTTTAGTTTCAGCGTTTGAGGTAAATATGTAAAGTGCAGCAATGGAAGAGTTTAGTCAGATGAATCACTTTAAGTGACAGCTTCCTTACTAAAACAAGTTGCATGCTGGTTCTGTCTTGCACTTGTCCACTTCATGTTTTTAGTTTTGTAAATATGTAAATAAGATGCAGATTTTGCAAAACCCCGACTAGTTGGATTTAATATTATCAAAGGGTGAAGTATGAACCGAGTGAAACTTGGAACAAGGTAATGTCGACCCATAGTTAAAACAAATTTAGTTTCAAGTGTGAAAAGCCCAATTCAAAAACAATATTTAATAGAAGTTCAATCAACAGCATTAGTGGCATAATGTTAGTTACCACAAAGATTATTTCAATTTGTCCCTCCTTTTGACTAAAAATAAAAAAAGAGAGAGAGAGGCTGCAGTGAGGCATTTAGAAAAGACTTATTTTTGGAAGCTTTAAATACAGAAACGTAAAGGTTAAATTTCTATAAAAGCACTTGCTACACCTTTCACAATTATTTTAAAAATGGACAGTTAAAACTTACTTTACTTGAGCTGTTAAAGGGATAGTTCACCCAAAAATGAAAATGTGATGTTTATCTGCTTACCCCCAGGGCATCCGAGATGCAGGTGACTTTGTTTTTTCAGTAGAACACAAACTGAGATGTTTAACTCAAACCGTTGCAGTCTGTCAGTCCTATAATGTCAGTGGATGGGAATCACGGCTTTGAGAGTCATAAAACATACACAAACAAAACCAAATTAAACCCTGCGGCTCATGATGATACATTGATGTGAAAAGACACAAAACGATCGGTCTGTGCAAGAAACTGAACAGTATTTACAGTGGGGCAAATAAGTAAGACAGATCTCTCCATTCTTTATAAGTGGGAAAACTTGAAAAATCGGCAGTGTATCAAATACTTATTTGCCCCACTGTATATCGTTTTTTACCTCAGATTTTCACAGCAATGTCTGAACTGTCCTGAGGTCATTCGCGTCTTCTTTTTCAGCCTGGCGTGAGGCATCTTCTTCTTCTTCTTGCTTTACAGCGGATTGCAGACTTATAAGTGCATTACCGCTACCTATCTCTCAAATGGACCATTGACACTCTATCTATAATCTCAATTGGGAGTGTCAATGGTCCATTTGACAGATAGGTCGCGGTAATGCACTTATAAGTCTGTGATAAACATCAATTTTTAATTTTTGGGTGA